CGGTGGCTCAGTGGCTAAGATGCTGAGCTTGTCAATCAGAAAGGTCAGCAGTTCAGAGGTTTGAATCCCTAGTGCCGTGTAATGGAGTGAGCTCCCATTACTTTTTCCAGCTTCTGCCAACTTAGCATGTAAAAATGCAAGAAGAAAAATAGGAACCAGTTTTGGTGGGAAGATAACAGCGTTCTGTGCGCCTTCAGCATTTTAGTCATGCTGGCCACATGACCACGAAGACATCTTCGGACAGCGCTGGCTCTTCAGCTTTGAAATGGAGATAAGCACTGCCCCGTAGAGTCGGGAGCGACTAGCACATATGTGCGACGAGAACCTTTACCTTTTTGTAGCTATTTATTTGCCCTTACTGTTTCTCTGCTCAGGGCACAATCAGCAATTCAGTTGGAAAACAAATAATAACAATCTCTACTGTTGTAGTTGATTAATTTAATATATAGAGGATCTTATCACATTCTATTTCAGCCATTATAACAAAAGAGAGAACTAATATTGTAAGCTAGCTGTAAAATATCATGTTCCATTTGATTTTATTCTTTTTTGAGCAATATTAAGTCAGTGGGACAACATATACTTTAGTACAGAGAATGAATTGTGAATTTAGTGCTTTGCACATGTGTTTGACTTCAATTCCATAATCTTGACAGCATTCCAGGCTTGGGAGATCAGTTCACAAAATTCCATGAAGTAAAACTTTTCTTTCTTGGAATTCTAAATTTTTCACTAAGAATTCTGTTTCATAACATTATATCTCCAATTTTCACAAAAGACTCTAATCAATACCATTCAAGGCAAGATTCCTCTCAATGTTTATTTATTAAGAGAGAAACATGGGATTATGTGCATCTTCAGAAAAATCTGTTTGGTGAAGATCAATTAGATGGACGAAAAGACTGATGTAATCGTTTTTATTTTGTGCTTCATTTTTGGTTAACTATAACACTAGTCTCCTGCTAATAATTTACATACGCAGCACAGATATTTCTATAATGAACTTATTAACAAAAATTCTTTCAGGTGTAAATTAAAAAAGAGAAAGGCCTAGATAGATAGGATTGGGAAAACGGAACTAAAATGCTGGAAATATATTCCATAACAATTGTCTCGTCAAACACAACAGTGGGTCCAATTGGGTACCAAATGTCTGGCCAATTAATGTAGGCTTTGATCATGATGCACTCATAGAAAATTAAGACTTTCAAATATTAAGTAAATGATGCTTTATCTGAAAATGTGAGGTATTTACAGTTATAAATGTATGTACTATGTACTGTGAAGCATGTAGTATGTAATAATGCACCCTCCCTTTAAGCCAGGAAATAAAATTTGCTGCTGAGTCCAAAGCAAAATAAACCTGTCCAATTTAAAGAAATAAAAATAATTTAGACCAGATGCTGTCACAGAAAAATGTCTCTGGGAATGGAAAAGAGAACAAGAGAACTTAGGGGCCAAAGAAGTAAAGAAATGTCCTAAAATTTCAAAAGAATCTGATTGGTGTTTTGCATTTGTGAAAGAAAATGGATGATTACATACTGTTGGAACTACAATCTGATTACTGGTCTGTCCTGCTGAGAGGTCTCAATTTTCCCAAAAGACGCAACACATTTGAGAAAATGGGGCATACATACATTTCGTAACACGAAGATTGCTAAATGCAGACCTCTTTTATGCATAATTGATAACATCTGGGAATGGCTTGCAATGTTTTCTTTCCTTCCTTTAACATGTAAAGACCCCTTCTGAATCATTTCCATTTTATGGTTTATGTTAAATGCAGTGACAACAATCCTTCTTTGAAAAAGAGATTAAGCACCATTGCTAAATATCTTTTTTTAAGTCACTCAATTGATAAATATGCATTGCTTCCTGTTCTATGAATAATACTAACAGAAGATTTCCTAAGTATTTGTGTATTATGTTTAAAATTAATAAATTCTTTAAAAATAAAAATAAGGTTTTTCCCATTACAATGGAGCAATGCAATGGAATCAAGGCATTATCTAAAGCAAGCTGTCCTCTTCTGATAAAACTGAAGTAATATATTCTAGCTTCAACTAAATCAAGAGGATTGAATAATTAGAGAAATTAATTTCCTGTTTGGCTTAACATTTTGTTACACAGTTCTTGGAAAGCTCACACTGTTTTCATGTAGTAACATTTTGCATTACAAAAGAGAAAACTGTTGAATCCAATTAGTTAATTATTAAACAGAGTTCAGTTAGATCAAAAGAGAATATATGTAGAATCCAATTTGGATTGGTTACCGGGACCAGAGGTTTTGTCACCCAAGCTTTCCAACTCATGCTGGAGCCGATCTTCAGCTTCCATTAACTGACCCAGATTGGATATCCTGGGACATGTATATTTGCCTTCATTCGTGAAAATATAGGTAGCTCATAGTTGAACTGTGGAGTCCTTTGGTGTTTTTTGAGCTTGGATGTTTGCTTGCAAACATTTCATTACCTGACTAAGTGACATCATCAGTATTCATGAGTGTGGGGTTTGCTCCTTGTTTATATACAATAGCTTGCAATGCCAATTTTGGAGGGAGCATGATTTTCTCCTTGATAGTTCCTTGTTTTGTTTTGGTTTTTTTGCTTGTTTGTTTGATGTTAAGCACTGCTTATCTGGATGTAGGCTTCTGGAGAGAATATGTTCTGGGTTTTTTTAAATTTCCTTTTTAGCTTTTTTGTTGTCTCTTTTGAATGGTGTGTAAATCTTGTTTATCTCCATGTACCAATTGATAGCTGACTTGTGTGAATACTAAACTTACAGAAATACTCTGTTTTTGGATTTAGCTTGGTCTGAGATGCTCAGTTTTACAGTTGAAATCTGTCTATGTATTGTAAGATTAATGAGTTTTTATTGTGTTTTCTGACTACTAGTTGGTGTTCATGGATGTGCTCTGCCAGTCTTTTGTGTGTCTGTCCTACATAGCAGTTGTTCAAATCCTTACACTATATGTTGTAGATGATTTTTGTTTTTTTCTGGTTCTTTGAAACAGCCTTCACCTGGACATCTGTTTGGTCCAGATTTGCCTTCTAAACAGAGCACTTCTGGAGAGCCTTTGGAGCTTCACCCAATCGTTGTTTAATGATAGTTTGGTTTACTTTAATAGTATTCTCTGTTTTTCATTAGCATCAGTAACTTTTTTGTTATTGTATATTGTACATTGATATTGTTTATTGTTTCTTATGCGTCTTATCTGTATACCACCATCGGAATACCACCTGTATACCTTCTTAGCTCCTTTTATAGGTTTCCACTTCAACCTGGACTCTATCACTGTCACTAGACCATATTGCTGTCCTATTATAACTTTCCTTTATCTAGACAATATCTTACTTTTACCTATGGGATGTTAATTTAATAAATTATATATAACATTATTGTTCAAATTGTATTACTGAACTACAAAGCTTACATATTTGAAAAAATAATTAGGACTGCTCTTTCTATTGGCTTTGATGGGGCTTTTGTTTAAAGTCCAATCTTCTATCTGAGTTATTATTACACAAACTGCAAGGTACATTAACAGAGAGCCATGAAAAGAAACGTACAGTCTGGTGCTGTGAAATGATCATGAGTGCAAGAAGAGAGAAGCTAACCATATAAATCTGGAAAAAAAAATGATTGTATGCAATTAAATTGAATTAAAGTTAAATATTGCTTTCTACTAGGAAAGGGAATTAAAAAGTTAATAGCTGATGTTTATGTAGAAGATGACATCAAAAGGATTTACTCGCAAGTAAATATATGCAAAAATGCAGCCTGGAATGAAACCTGTTTTCTTTTGAAAAGTTTCCTTAAAATTCAAGCTTTGGGAGAAAGAAAGATAAGGATAAGTTATACAGCTCTGTTTTTTACATATTTTCATCTTTATGTTTATATTAAGATATTTTGATCTTTCTATGCTTATTTCAGCCAAACTCTCATGTACAGGTAAATATGTTCATAATTACTAGTGATACTTACCCTTGGGCCAACGTCTCCTTGTTCACCCTACAAACAGAAAAGTTCCCATCACTGGCTGCTCAGTGTTGCTTTTGGCCAAAATACTTCTTCCTTATAAATAGGACCAGTGGCCAAATATAGGAAATTAGAAGTTTCAAAAACTAATGTTGACCTAAGCCAACATTATTTCATTCCTAGAAGTCCTTCACATTGTATACTTAGATTTAGTGAATTATTTAGGACTCACATACAGCAAGTAAAAACAGTGTATGGGTAGAATGGAAGGACCTGTTGAATGTATTATCAGGACAGGTATGCACAAAGTATTTAAACAATTCTTAAATGAACATTTTCCAATGGAAAGAAAAAGGAGTATATCTTTGTGGTTTAGAAACTAGCCAATTGCAGTCCTGCTTCAGGACTCCAACTTTGCTGCAGAAGTCAAAACACCAAATTCATGCAAGATACATCAGTTTATAGTTCACCAGATTTCTTCCCTTAGCATTAAAAAGGAGGTTATAAAAACATGCTATTCCAATTGTTCTTGCCAGTGAGTACACTTAACAATTCAAAGATGATTCTCTTTGTTCTTGACTTCTTTCTCAGTTTGTTCTCTTGGATATGCATGGTGTGCTACCTTAATCTGCTCATGAAGAGCCTGTGAGGACATCAGAGCAATACGCACCAACATATTCATTGATAATTCTGCCTTGCTGGGTCAGCTCAATGAGGTCATTATAGAACAAAGGCCACAAGAATAAGACTATGCTTACTGGCCTAATTAGCACCTCTCCTAATAAAGTCAAGGCACTTTTCAACTGACTCACCTTATCTCCTTTTGCTCCTGGAGGTCCCTGGAGAAATTAAAAAAGAGAACAATTAGCATAGAGAAGCACTATTTTCATTTGGAACCCTTCTTGGTATGTAAACTACCATAAAAATAGTTATTCTCCTATGCAAGTATTTCAACATGTGACAGCTAGCACCATAGAGTGAAAAGTGGCTGATAAGTTGATCCCCAAAGGAGAGTCTAAACTAGATATTTTTGCTGTATTAAGAGACAACCAGTTATGTAGGGGAAGTGTTGGAGTAAGAGTGATGGAATTAGAAAATCACGATGAAAGCTATTTTTTTCTATTTTGTCCCCAAGGTCCATTTGTTTTGTTGTTTATTTTTGAAAAAGAATCAATGAGGGGAACTAAAATAAATATTAAATGATTAACATGTGAAAGAATTTGTTCTGCATTTGGGTATCCATTAAATTGCAAAATACACTAGTGTGAAATGCTAGAGGCAAATCTAAGTTTTAGAAATCACTCAAAACTAAAAAAAAAAGAATTAGAAGAATTAAAAACGTCTGTTAGAGATAGCTTGCTTCAGAAAATGAGGCAGTTCAACAAAATATTTAACATTGAAGCTTTTTTCTCACAATCAGTTGTTTCCGTATCTGTTCATTAGAGGGAAGCTAAAATCAATATGTAACTTCCTTTCTTTTGCAACAATCTTGACAGTTTCTTCTGTTTTTAATATAAACATTTTGCCTGCCTGTTTCTCATAAACAGGCAAGAATTAAAAGATGATATTTTTAGGAGTTGAGCAGCCTGCAACTCCATGTGTATCAAAAATTAAAAACATGTTGAAATCAATCAAAAATGTTTAATTATGGTTTAAATACACAAAACAATTGTATGCACTAAGCACACTTGAGTGAGCCAAGATAAACTTAGCAAAACATATCTGTAAAGGATGTTGAAAACTAACATTTTCACTCCTCCTACCCCAATTTTTAACTGCTAAAAACGACTCCAGGGACATGTTTTCCTTATTGCTTCAAAATATCCAAATTTCTACTTTTGTTGCAGGTAGACCTTGTTTAGTGACCACAACTGGGAATGGCAACTCAGTTGTTAAGCAAAGCAGTTGCTAATTGAAATCTTGACTGTTTACGATCTTACTTCAGTTTTTCTTGACCTGCAAAAGTTGTAAATGCAAGGATTGGTTGCAAAGTTACTTTTTCAGTACAGTTACGAGTGCAAATGGTTGTAACAGCAACTGCGCATAAGGGCTACTTGTATCAATTAAATACTCGATCTGTGAGTCAATTTGGAGGATCAGTGAGCAGAGAGTGATAGAAAGATGCTTCACTGAAGGCAAATATTAATTTTTCTAGTCGCCTGTTGAACTGCTTTGCCCAAGCTTTGATGCTGTTCTCTGAGTAGCAGAGTTCTCATACTCCAACTACAGGTAGTCCTTGACTTACAATCATTTGTAAGTTACAACTTAGCATTTTTCACACAACTGTTGCAGCATCCCCAGGGTCGCATGATCAAAATTTGGGTGGTTGGCAACTGACATGTATTTATGATGGCTGCAGGGTCCTAGAGTCATGTGATCACTTCTGATAAGCAAAATGAATGGGGAAGCCAGATTCACTTAACAACTGTGTGACTAACTGAACAACTGCAGTGATTCACTTAACTGGCAAGAAAGGTCCTAAAAAGGGATAAATCTCATTTAACAACTGTCTTGCTTAGCAGTGGAAATTTGGGGCTCAATTGTGGTTGTAAGTTGAAGATTACCGGAACTAAACAAAGCTGCTTATGAAACCTGCCTGAGTTCACCTTTTTCTCTTGTCCAAGCTGAGGTTTTTTTCCTACAGTCAAAGACAATGCCTGCATTCCATGCAAAACAGTCTATAAACAACTGTCAGACAAATAATGGCTGCACTGGGTGAATTTCAACGTCAGTACTGTACTTAAAAGGAAAATAATACTATATTCTCTTATGAACATGAGAAGAAAGGCCTTTTGAAAGTAGAGTTAGTCCTTAACTTATGACCACAATGGAACCCAAAATTTCAGTTGTTAAGTGAAACACCGATGAAGTGAGTTTTGCCTTATCTTATGACCTTTCGTGCCACAGTTGTTAAGTGAATCACTGAAGTTGTTAATTTAGTAACACAGTTGTTAAGTGAATCTGGCTTCCCTATTGACTTGGCTTGTCAGAAGGTCACAAAAGGAGATCATGTGAGTCAATTGCCAAGCATCCACATTTTGATCAACGACCACTGCCATGGTCGTAAGTGTGAAAAAAGGGCACAAGTCACTTTTTCCTCTTGTAACTAAACTAAAGGTTATAAGTTGAGGACTATCTGTAGTGTCAAATTCACAGCAGACCCAGTAAAAAGGGTTTCTTTTGAGAAATTATCGTTACAAGTATGATCTGCAAACAAACAAACAAAAAATATGCAGCCACGCAGAAAGCCTCCGGTTTTCCATTTCACACATACGTGTGAGCAGGTACTATACATTAAGACTGAGTTGGGACTGGCCTAAGGTACCATGGCTGGCTCGGGAAACAAAGGCTATTCTAAAACAGCAAATCTTTGCATGGGTATAAATGGCACCATAGACAATGAGGCCTAGGGATGCCATATAAGCTTGAGGTAGATTTGAGACCTGCAACCCAGAATGCTTTCAGGTTTAGGATTCAGAAATTCATTTACCTCTCTTCCTTACTGTTTTTGATTCTTTGAATCTCTAGAATCAACCAGCTTTCTGAATCGATTTAGTGTCTTATTGGTTGGTTTCTTTGACTCTCTTTTTCACCCAGATATTTCTGTAGGCTTTTTATTTGCTCATCTAACTTGCTATGCTAGCATCTCTCCAGGGGTGGGTTACAGCAGTCACTACTACCAGTTCGCTCGTGGGCACTTCGTGTGTGCGTGTGTGTATGTGTGTGTGTGTGCGTGTGTGTGCTTGATACGCGCTGCACATGCATCCGCAGTGCAATCAAAATTGCACTGCGCAGAAGCAAAAAATAACAACAAGAAAACTGGTTCGGGAGCATGGCAGGCCTGGGTCGTTGCTGGTTCCAGTGACCCAGGTCGCCAAACCACTATCGGTTCGGCCAAACCAGTCCAAACCGGTAGGAACCCACCACTGCATCTCTCTTTCTTTTCAAAAGGTAAGAAGATCCGATCAATAGCATTAGCAATAGCGCTTAGACTTATATATTATTTCACAGTGCTTTACAGCCCTCTCTAAGCAGTTTATAGAGTCAGCATATGGCTCCTAACAATCTGGGTCCTCATTTTACCAACCTCAGAAGGATGGAAGGCTGAGTCAACCACAGGCTCCATCTAGTTTACCATACAGCTGTTTACCCAAGTAGAAAATAACTGGAAGAGGTTCCCCTTGCTTGCATTGCCTGGCAAGTGGTCAGGGAATTGATATAAAGCCATTGTTGACTGCTTGCCACTCAATTTATCCTTCACACTTCTATTCAATCTACTTGAGTATAGATGGCAATTCTGTAATAGTCACAAATGTTCTTATGCTTCAGTGGAGTTTCATGTGTGTTCAATCCAGAGTGTTCAAAACCAAGGGAAAACTAAGAGCCAGGTTTTCAAACTATTTTTAGAACAGCATGCCTCTTAGTAAAAACTATTTATTTGGCTTTTATGGACTAAATAAATGATTTTCTGAAATTATTCTGAAACACGGTAGCAGCGTCCCATTATTATTCTTTTACTTATACCTGAGTTATGGCACTTTTAATTTGTTTTGTTTTATTTATATTTATTTTATTATTTTTATTTATTATTGTATTATTTTATTTTATATTATTGTATTATTTTATTTTTTATTTTTATTTTATATTATTGTATTATTTTATTTTATTTTATATCAGCCAGTACCTAACTCACATTCATGACTCTTGTGAAATAACAAAAGTTAAAAAAACCATACACACATAATCATCATCAAATGAACCAGAAACAGTATAAATACTATTTATACTTGTGGGGGATCAAGGAATGTTGCGGGTCCCATCCCCTAAGGAGATACACCTGGCAGGACCAGAAGAATAGCCTTCTCCATGGTGGCTCCCTCTCTCTGGAACATCATTCCCTCAGAGATAAAACTGGCCCCGACTCTAACATTCTTTAGGAAGGTGCTGAAGACTTGGGATGGAGGGGTTCAGGGGACTATTATTTTTTATTTATTATTTGATTATTTTTTTCTATTAGTTTAATTTTTTATATATGATGTTTTTATTTTTGTGTAAGTCGCCTTGAGTCACCATGTACAAATAGGTGGAAATATAATTTTTCTAAATATTAAATAAATAAGTAAAATAAAAATGACTGGTACATTTGGGTCCCATAACGAAACTTCACCAACATAAAAAAACACCGAAAATGGGTGCACCTGATATTGCAGGCCTGATGACATGGAAGACATATTCCTTGGGTCCCACCATAAGTTGAATGGATGGAGGCTACAACATGGCTACTTTGTCAGATTTGTTAGAACAGGAAAAAACAGTTGGAAACAACAAACAATTAATGTGAAGCATGAGGGCACTGTCAGCCCTACTAGGTAGATGAATATAGGTAATAAACTCCATAGGAACAGTAGGATCATCTTAGTTAGTAAATGGGCAGAATAACAGAATCTTGAAAGTCTAATTGTGCTGTACTTCTTCCTCTTTCTTAAAGTTCAGAGAATTACGGAGGTGTGTGCCTGGGGCATTTCTGAATGTTATCTTGTAGTTCTTGACTTAAAAAAAAATATTTAGCCCCTTTTGCCTTGGCAACAGCTCCTTCCTACCTCTTTAGGGCATCTTCCATACTCTCTATAGTATATACTTGTAAATGTATTATTTAGATCATTACTTACTGGCTTTCCATCCAATCCAAGAGGCCCCTAAAAAAAGCAGAGAAGTGTTTTAACAGAAAGATATGAATTTGTTGTTCATGTAATTCTGTCTCTTAAAGTCCCCCGCTATATTTTGGGAATTTATAATAGTTCCGGAAGTGCCATCTAAAGCCAATAATGTAAGATCAATGGGAAGAAATATCCTGTTGCAGCCTAGAGTGGGTCTGCTTGCCCTCACAAAACTTTTCTAATGCTGCAACAAAGGTAGATGGTTGAGGGAGTTATGACATTAAAAAACTGAACAAACTAACAGAATTGGTTTTAAAAATGAATGCTTGCCTATAATTATAAAATTAAGAGAATCCATAGGGAATATTTTTCTATACACCCATTACTTGCTCTGGTGTATGCGGAGAAGGGGGGGACTGTTACTTATTACTAATCAAGTCACAATTAACTATCTGTGACATATCAAAACCCACCTTTTCCATAATGATCATACTATTGATGTATTTGCTTCCTGACAAAATACAGACCCCCCCAAAAAAATAAATTTTAAAAGTCACCTTTGAGGGCTGGGAAAATATGATATTCTCCCAGCAGAACTGAAGATGTAATAGAAGAACTACAGATTTTGTTCATTAAATCAAAAACAAATGTTCATTCCATGATCATGTGGGACAACTCTCTGTGAATTTTGTTTAGTAAGGTGTTTAATTACCGAGCAATACTTTTTGATTGTTTTCAAACCGCAACCCACATCCTTTTTAATACTTTCTCAAATGGAAACCAGTTGGCGCTGTCTTGCAATAATTGCCATCAATATTTTAATAAGTTATTTAATTTAAGACTGTCCCTCATTATATCCGCTAAGTCAATGATGAATCATTCACTGCAAGAATCATTCACTGCTATATTTCCCCTAAAACCAAACATTATCCAGACTGAAGAAACAGCAGATGATGTTGGTTAATGCATCATCACTGGCACAGATCCAAGCCTTTTATTGTGAAAAAAAATGTAATTAAGGAAAAACTGGAAAATGATACTTGGTTTTTAAAAAAAGGCATTTATCTCTTTTTCCACTAATTTATTAATGCCTGTAAAATTTAAAGAGCCTTTGATCTATAAGTAAAAAAAGAGTAGTTAGAGTGTACAAATGGATAATTATTCTGTACTGTATAAACACCAAAGGGATACAACTTAAATGTTTGCAAAATATCTCTTTGTAATCTATTTCCAACTATAAAGGTATTTCTTTTGCTTTGCATTCTAGATGATAGGGATATTCACTATATAGCAGTTAGACTTATATACCGCTTCATAGGGCTTTCAGCCCTCTCTAAGCGGTTTACAGAGTCAGCATATCGCCCCCAACAACAATCTGGGTCCTCATTTTACCCACCTCGGAAGGATGGAAGGCTGAGTCAACCCTGAGCCGGTGAGATTTGAACAGCCGAACTGCAGAACTGTTCAGCCTAACCTCTGCTGAAGATGTTACCTAGTCTGGTAGCTTGTAAACCAACCCACAAGCTCGGAGAATGAACCTTTACCTTCATATTCACTATATGGCTACCTTCTGCTTATGCAAGAAACAGGGAAGGTGAACACAATATGAATCCATAGGCATTTATCAACTGGCTATAATTATGGATAGTAAAGAAAGCTGGGAAAACACTAGATTTGGGAGTGTTGGGGTATCACACTAAAGCCACAACCTTTTAATTTAAGCGAAAGATGCTGCTTACCAGGGAAGAACTAGCTACAGTTCCAATGTATTTGAAATACATGATATGTACGTCCTTCTCTGTTTACATGTTCTGATAAAAGTAAAGATAATTTCTCCTCTGAATCAAACTAGACTCCTGGTGGCTTTTTGGGGAGAATATGAAAGTAATTTGCCATGGCTTTGCCATTGCTTTGCCCTGTTATGTTTTTCCATATTCCCAGTCTAGACTATTGCTCTGACATTTCTCATTCATGTATTAACCAACGTGACTCTGCTTGAGTTATTTGAGCTGATGCACCTAAGAGGGCCATATGTTCTAGTTGAACAGAGTAAATAAAGGTTGACTTGTTTGGGGAAAGAAAGTAGTTAGCTAAGAAAAAGAAAAGAGAAATATCTAAACTGGCCATGGGGGTCCTCAAGTCCTTGGCTAGGCCTCATGTCTTGGGAGTTCAGATATATATCATTGAGAGGCTTCTTCTAACCTCAGCTTTCAGAGAAAGCAGTAGGTTTCCCAGATTTTTGGATAAACTTTAAAACTTTCAGTATTTAGTCCCAATATTACAAATGAAGAAATGATAGACTATTTAACATATGTATAGAGCATTTAAGAATCTAAGTAATACCATCATAACTATACCATAGTCTTCTCTAGATGTATGATCTTCAGAGAATGATTATTTAGTGGGCTTACTCAGCAGAATTTAGCTAGCTAATCTGTACTCTTTAGTCTTGTATGATATCCAGATATCCAGTAGGTAATCCTTTGTTGCAGGAGAAATGGTGGATAACAGGCAACAGAAATGTAGTAATTTGGAGCCCACATTTATATGGGTGAAATATGCAATCCTACGAAACTGATATTGAAAGGGTTAATCTAATTGGAACAAAAATAGCTAGAACATTTAATTAATTGATTCATTATTTTCAATTATTTTTAATTTAGGTACTGCCTAACTCCTCATTACTCACAGTAAACAATAAAATACAAAACAATACAAAATAAGATAAGATGTAGTTGCTCTGCACAAAAACATAGACCAAAATACATCCAACATGGTGTTCCGCTCATCTTATTAACCTAACTACTGGGAGAATAATTGGGTCTTCAAGGCCTTCCAGAACTCCAACAGGGTGGGAGTCACACTGATTTCAGTGTGGGATTGTTCTTTAGAGAGCAAGAACCACAACAGAGAAGGGATACTTCCTAGGTCCCATTAGAGGGCATTGTTTCTGGCCAAGCAGAAACCATGGAAAATAGGTGGTTTCTCAAAATATCCAAAAACTACGCTGAAGAGGTATATATGTAATATATTTTAATATATTTTTAAATATATTTTATGAACTGTAAGCCACCCAGAGGCATTGACTTTTTGAATCAAATTTTGATTGCACCTGGAAGCATATTGGCAACCAATAGAAATGTCAAAAATAGTACAAATACAAATACAACATTCAAACTGTTGTAGTCCTTGACTGTTCAAAGTTACAATGACAGTGAAAAAGTGACTTATGACCATTTTTCACAGTTACAACTATTGCAGCATACCTGTGGTCATATGATCACAATTTGGACACTCTGCAATTGGCATGTATTTATGACGGTTGCAGGTTCCTAGGGGTCATGTGATCACTTGACCTTCTGATAAGCAAAGTCAATGGGGAAGCCAGATTCACTTAGCAGACATATTACTAATTTAGCAACTGCAATGATTCACTTAACAACTGTGTCAAGTAAGTTTGTAAAATGGGGCAAAACTCACTTAACAAATGTTTTACCCAACAATAGAAATTTTGGGCTCAGTTATGGTTGTAAGTCAAGAGCTACCTGTATATAGATGACACACTCAATGCCCATTACTGTTTATGCCATTACATTCTGGACCAGTTGAAATTTCCAAGTGGTTTCCAAGTCCCATGTAGAGAATTCAAGCGGGGAGGTAACTATGCAATCCTCCTGGACTGTCTAAGACACAGGACGAGAGAGATACTGTTTTACAGTGGTTCCCTGTCTTCCTGAAAGGGCAGTTTTAGTTAGTGGTAGTAGGGAAGGACAGCTCTAGTGTACATCAATGGCAGCTAAAAAACTATTACTCAGAGGAGTTCTTAGCATCTCACAAGGCAGCTATATAATAGCTTTGAATGTAAATAATGATCATATCCATAGAAAACAGCTCCTTTGTTTGCCTGCTTTAAAATTTGTTCTGCATAAAAAATGACAATGCTTTGACAATGCTTTTTCATGAGTGCTGAAAAGTTCAAGGGATATTTTCAAATGTTGTGCATGTAATACGCTCCTATTTTATGTCTCCCTGAAACTTGTTTACAAATTCAAATCGTGCTCAAATGCATGCAATTGGATGGAACATGTTTTGGTACAAAATTACATTTATAATTTATTTATTTATTTAAATGACTTATAGGCTTCCTCAATCACAATTGCAACTCCAGATAGCTTTTTGCTTTGTGCTTTTGAGTCACTTTTCACTCCCTAAACAAGGCAAGTCCCTAAACAAGGCAAGGTTTTTCAAAAGGGGTTTGCCATTGCCTCCTTCTTAGGGCTAAGAGATTAGGACTGGCCCAAGATCACCCACCTGGCTTTGTGCCTAATATGGGGTTAGAACTCATGGGCTCCTGATGATTTAACCACCAACTAATTTCTAGATATCTTACAAATTACAAATCTAAATACTAAAATAACAAGAAAAGTAATTTGAATGAGTAATATACTAAGATTACTAAGACCCAGGAAACCAGCTGCATATAAAACATAGGTTATAAAATAGGTCACAAACCAGCCTGTTGAACACACATGAGGATTGCGTGGATTTGGGAATACTACTCCAGAGTATAAGAACAAATATAGAGAAATCCAATTTTTCAAGTCCCACAAGATGGCAGTGCTTTACTGATTAGTCCTGGAGCCTTCTGATTCTGTCAAAGTCAGCATGTAAAGAATTTTACTAGATGTTACTACTCTTCCAAAGGACTTCAAAATTATTTGTGGGTGCCATTTAAAAAGTAAAGCCAATCAAAGTAATGCCACCAATCAGAATTCTCAAATAACCTGGAAGCTTCCCTTATACTGCCATTTCAAACAGTGAAGCCGAATTCAGAGAAACTTTAAGTAGAACAATGTGGTAACAGCATCAGCTCATTTGCTGCATCACTTTGGCTGAGATCAGCTCTTCTCAACCATCCAGATGTGAATTCTGCCCTCCCAAAATTCCCAGCCAGATAAAATTTCCCCAACTGAGAGAAGACTGACTGAGGCACAGACCCTTTTCACAATGTCAGGCCAAAAATATCCATCTGGGATACA